CGGAAACTGCTCCTATAATACCAAGAACTAAAGGCCAGCCATGGTAGAGCGTTTCCCCAGCACCGTGAAGCACTTGCAAAACGCACTCCAGCTGCCGCTGTCGAACGTCTCCGTGACGCACGGACGATAACTCGGACAACGGTCCTAGTAGTAGCGTTTGCAACTTTTGATTGTCGCGAAGTGGTTGCGGATATTTATGCTGAAGAGCCATCTTGACAAGATACGTGATCGCTTCTACGCCCCATTCTCTCATACGGATGTGCGGATGCTGACAAACTTCCAACAAGTGGTTTGTTAATGGTCTCCAAAGCACTTCTACGCGTGGTAAGTTTACCAAACCTGTCTCTAAAAGTTTAGCAACAGCGAATAAGGAGGGTTCGCGGTTGGAATATGCCAACTCCATAGCCTCGTGACTCAATTTGCACAGAGCATCTATCAAATGATGTAGAGCGACGTCGTCGAGATACTGACTGCTCTCGAATAATCTACTGAGCATGGCGCTGAGTACAGGTAGATCCGCCATAACCGCGTTCGTCAGCACGGCATTCGGATCGGCCGCGGTTCTCCCAGCTTTCAATGATCCGCCGGTGGACGGTTTCAGACCAAGTATCCAGACGAGATGTTGAAGAGTGGTAAGTACCAAGTGCCATGCGCTACCGAGTATGCTACCGTGACAATGGGCCAGCGATAACAGTGCACGCATGCATTGCAGATTTTTCGCGGTCAACATGACGGGACCTTGATGGGCACCTGAATGTAATCAATACGATAAAAGATTAATCGAGTAATAGCGCGCACAACCGGTCGCGTATTGTTATCCTACCAATTGGTAACGATGCCGTTGGTAGTGGTGTGCCAACGGCCACTACTTGTTGCCTATAATCGGGTTCGCCCATTGTCAAGTTGTATTGAATCGAGTCCTGCTGCCTCGCAGATGGTATGCCTTGCGGCGCATTGTATAGTACAGTCAAGGCGTAATTAGGTGGCAAGGACGCTTTACATATCGCAGTAATGAAGGCATCGCGTGGCGCCTGCAGATCCAATTGACCGCAAAGAGACGCGAAGGTTTGAATTGCTTTCAAAACATTTTCTGTCGCCGATTCGTCCGTACTGTAGATTCACGGATATATTTGTACCCTCGTGCTTTTCGCATACTACATAAAATAATAAGAATTTACGCAAAGTTGCTACCTGGCATCTATTAATGGGCTAAGAGCCGCCAATAGACCGCACCAACTAGAGTTTATCAATTGTATGTGAAGCTTTCGTTCGGATTCGCTGGGCTGATAAATCTGAGTCTCGTCGTTATCATCTTTCAATCCGCTTATGGCCAAAGCGATCGACCTTATAATGTCCAACAGACATGCATAGGCTATACTGATTCCATAACCGATCGGTATTTGCGGCGGTTCAACTTTATCCAACATTTCCAAGCTGCAAATGAACATACGTTACCATCTCTAGTGCCGTCATTATCGAGAAGAGCACATAATATTATTACTAATTGGCTTACTAAGTTGGTTTAGCTTGCCCGCTTGTAAATGTTGCCACTACTGGTAACCAAATACCACGTGAATAGAAACCGGGTTGAGGTGATACGCCAGGCCCAATAGGCATTCCTGTGAATAACGGTGAACCTGTGCTTTGAGGCATAGTTGTACTTGCTGCTGTTAAAAGCAAAAAATTGTCATACAGCATCCAAGAATGTACATACACGCACTTATGGTAACAAAAATATAGAGGATCGAACTATGCACATGGAGACTTTGAGATAAACGAAATTATTTAAAGTGCAACAAATAAGAAAAAATTAATTTCATAGCCATCCATCACATCTGTACCTGTCTGACTCATCATTTGTGGATTTACAAAAAGGCTATGTACATATGCGCCTAAGCTATTGACAATGTCTTGAAAAATGTTCGTAGCGTGCGGCTTCAAATCATAACATTCGCAGAAGTTGGTCAACAAATCTGCTTGAACTGTCATTTTGTGCAAAACTTCCAATGCTAAAGCCCTCTGCCAGGTAGGTTTGTCAGGATCCAGAAACTTGACGATTAAGGATAAGAATATTTCACATTCAGTCACCTGAAGCATCGGAATGTCACTTTAATTTCTGCTGACAAATTTATCGTATGTTGTTGCTACATGCTGGTACATTTACCAATAAGGAATGATATTTCTGTATCAAAATCGACACAACTCGCAACAGCCTCATGCTAATAGGAAAGTAAGGTTTGTCTAAAGGTGTCGCTTGTTGTAGAGATGCCGGTACTGAATTACGATACTTGATGTTAGGCGAAAACAGTTTTATCACAAGTGCACACACTCTCTCCTTCAGTAAAAAGCTAAACTCCGGGTGCTAAAAATTATATTTCGACATATAATTCTTATATGGCTATAAAAGGTTTCGTTAAAATAATCCCTTCACCGCTTAAAAATATAAATCTCAGATTTACCTTAAAAAAGACAGATGAAAAGTTTGTCAAAACCGATTCTAGTAGCTCCAAACCAAAAGTCCTAGTCATTTCAGTAATACCAATTAGCCAGTACGGTTGATCGGCATTCACCAACTGTACTAGATCCTAAAATCAAATGCAAAAATAATAAATTACAATTATATTCTATAGATTTACATAATTACATGAGAATTATGTAAATAATAAGACACCTGAAACATCAAATATGCATCTGCAGCACAAGGGCTGAGACCTTTAGGTGCTTGATTCGTTGGAATTTTCAGTTCCTCCAAATTTACTTCGTCAGACTCTGGCTGATCAGGACTCAGCTCATCCTCGGCGACTACTCTTTCAAACACCAGAGATACCAGCTGTCTTACAGTAGCACCGGCTGTATTTATCGTCGTACAGTCTTTTGTGAAATGTAACCGAAAACAAAGCACCAGGTTCTGAAAAGGTACAATTTCGAATAGAATATCGAGAATGTCATCAAAGAAAGACAGTGTATTCATATAGTAAGTGGATTCTTACTCTCGCCAAAGTATCTCCGTGCACCACGGCATTGCTTGTAAGCAGCAGCGTTACAGTCTGCAAAACTTTAACTTCCTCCGTACCAGATTCCATCAACAACCACAAAGTATCGGTGATGTATCGGGCACCTTTCTGATCCACCGCCTGCTGCGTTATTAGCCTCTGCATCATGCCTAGGCAAAACTGAAAAGCCACTAAAACTTGTACAGCGTTCTACGAGGTCCTAGTTTTAAATCGAAAATATTAGGTAAAGCTTTCAATACCTTGATGATTTTTATGTCCTTACTCTCGCACCCTTGAACCAGAGGATAAAGTATTTGATTTACAATATAATATATTGGTGTTCCTGGGTTACTCGAGGCTGTTCTCAACTTTGCGATTCCTTCCTCACACGACTGTAACAGATAACGTAACAACTGTACTGTGTTGCTGGGCTAAATAATAGTGTAATTCTATTATATTCTGTATTTTTCAATGTCACTCAAGTACGTATACACATGCACGCACACTCAATAGCTTTTAAACTTAATGTACAAATGTTCTGTGCGAAAGTTGTGCGGATTGTTATAAACTTTTCAATTGTTTCCGAGTTACGGTTGAATTTTCAAGGAGAAACCAAACCAAGATCAAAACTAGAACCTGCGGGATTCGAGGTCCAACTGATTTAGAACGCAGATAGGCGACGTACCTCCTTGATCTGCGGATATTTCTTCTTGGTCTCTGAGGCGAGTACCTTGAGGTCCGACTGCAGGGCCTCGAGGAATTTGGAGGCATTCTCTGGGTTGCCACCGACAGTGGTGGCGGCGACGCTCGCCATCGTTGACACTGCCACCGTTGCTCGGGTTTCCCTAAATTGGCACGGTCTCTAGGACCGGAGGCATGACGGCTCGCTACCGAGGAGCCCGAGGGGCTAAGCGCCACGGCGTTGAGACGTCGGATGGTGATCGAGTTGACACGCTCCGCCACGCCGATCGTCGGTGACGATAACGATTGCGGACAGGCGGTCCATCGGAATCACCCTCTCGCCCAGTCGCCGCGGATCACATGGGACGAGCTACACAGGCTTGTAAATTGCGACGACGTTCCCGCGTACTCAGGATTCACGCAACCGTAACTAGGAGCTGGGAGCCCCTTGCCCCTTGCCTGTGGGCCTGCCTAGACCTGGGCTGCGATCGCACACGACCGACCGGACCGACACGCACCTTGACACGATTGTTACAGACTCCGAGACCACGTATGCAATCCGCGCGGCGCTGTTGTGCTAGAGACCCTTTAATAAGAGTCTGGCCATAAGGTAGCACTCTGTCATTGGTCCGACATTTTTCTTCAATTCGCACCAGTTTTTTAAAGCTTGTACTGGTGAAACATAATGCGTGGTCTACAATGCGAGTCGCAGAGTCGTAGTCGTAAGAATAATCGACTGTGACTGATCAATTTCGTCAGACACATAAAGCCTCCGCTACAATGATTCTCGGTTCTGTCTACAATGGTCGCAGTCTTAAGGCCTTCACACATAAAATTCCGTAAGGACGTAAAACGTAAGCGTAAGAAAATCAACAGGTTGGATTTGCTACTGCTTGCGTCATTGCCTTACGTTCTCGACTGTGATTGGTCGATTTTCTTATGCTTACGTTTTACGTCCTTACGGAATTTTATGTGTGAAGGCCTTTAGAATCGTAGAGTCATGGATTGGGTCGTATCGATGTATAACTGAAACCGATTTTCTGTTTTTGAGGTATTTTCCCACGATATATTCGACAGATAATGACACACGACATATATCACTATTCTCTGATTGGTCCGTCGCGGCAATAAACGCAGTCGTGGTCGTTGGAATAGGAATTGAACCTATTCGAGCGACTAGGACTACGACTGCTTTGCGACTGCTCAAGCGACCATCGATACAACTGTACGACCATTGTAGACAGAACCGAGAATCATTGTAGCGGAGGCTTAAGAATTGACCAATCGCAGTCGATTATTCTTACGACTACGACCATTGTAGACAGAACCGAGAATCATTGTAGCGGAGGCTTTAGGTTTCTCTCTACGTGGTTTATGAACTTGTTCGTCTTGCTTGAATCTCCAAAAATTTCTCTACTTAAAAAAAGAGATAAATAAACACTGAGCGTTGGAGAAAGAGAGAACAAGAATTTGAACAAGTATGTACATACATACAAGCGACACAAGCCTAATAATGATTGCGGTGTAGGCCGTTGCATCTATAACCTCAAACTGAGTGAGACGTAACTTGCAACAACTGTTTTATAAAAGTGAATAAGAGACTCTCATCAAGAATTATCATGTCACTCGCACGACGAGGACAGGTTTGTGCCCCATTGGTATTGTGTGCATCACATCATTTTCACACACGTATTATTTATAATTGACGGATATTTGCCAGTTTGCTTGGATCAGTACTGAAAATGTACAATATACATTTCCATGTGCATTGTAGAGTTTCGGATTTTTACTGGTAGTGAATATCCGAATGACTTTCTCGTTGTGTTTGCCAGCTGTGAATTTTGCAAAGCAATCCATGTTTATTTCCAATTTATTTTCAGCATTGGGGAACATTCGCTCGCATGTGGCATGTATACGATGCAAAATGGCAAGATCCTTTCAAGAGTGCTGAAGTGATAAAACATTATCTCATGGGAATGTACAAACCAATATATCATCCAATGAGTAAGTATCGCTTCTCTTTTATAATAAACAAATTGTAATATGACACTAAATTGGCGCATTTGCTCAAATATTGAAACTGATCTGATATCTGTCCACATTAAACTTGTATGTTGCGAGCCTGCTGATACAATTTGATAATAAATTGCAAAAATCAGCACAATTGTTAAAAAGAAAAGAATGTTCCTATGTGAATTGTTAATAATTTTTATATAGATAATTGCGGCGATCATGTGGTAGTGATAAATAGTAAGGAGATCGCCTTACGCGGAGATGAATGGCGAAAACGTGTATACTTTCATCACAACACATATCACGGAGGCGCAACTTGGACTCTCGCGTGGGAATTACATAATAAGGACCCAACTCTGGTAATTGATTTCTTGCAATCCGAAATATACGATGTCAAATTTTCTTAGTGGTTTGTAATTATGTAATTTACGTTTTGTATATTACACAATTGGAACAGATTGTGGAGAAAGCCGTATACAGAGCGTTGCCGAAGAACTTGCAACGGAGGTACACTATGCAAAGACTGCACATATTCCCGGATGAAAAGATACCCGAGGATATGTTGAAAAATATTAGTAATCAAATTAAACAGCTGAAGGCCGTCCCCGTTCGACTGGATCATATTCCACAGAAGGAAATCGATGATTTCCCACAACTTTTAAAGTATCCCGAAAATTATATTCTTAAATAAGTTTAATATCAACGCCAAATTTATGCAGTAATGTATCCACAAGATGATAATACAACTAATAATACTGACGCCTTGAATTGTTTCATAGATTCTTGGGGTTCTTGAGCCAAGCTTGAAATCCTAATTCATAATTATGTTGAATTTATTTATAAATACAAAAGTGTACAAATGTTAAGTGTTTTCGTTCCTTACCGTACGCGTGTATGTTGTTAAATTAATATCTAATGCCACATTAAAATTCCTCCCATTTCTCTGTAATTCCAGACTCGTCGTCGTCGTCATTCACAATTACAGAAGACGCGTGAGAGGTATCCCATTTACTTGGTTTTTGGCTGTCAGTTGATTCTTCCAATTCTGTATCTCTCGATTCCTGTGATGCCTCAATGTCCTCAATTCGCGGCAGCGACAAATTTCTCCCGTACAGCTCCGAATGTTCCGCGTCAAAGTCGTATGCATTGTGTAAAATAGGTACGTCGCAGAACTGACATCGCGGCTCTTCGTACATGTCTTGCAAGCACGGGTGAAAGATTTGGCTGCATATTGGGCAGACACGGTACTCCAATAACATTATCTGCAACAACGTTGTGCAACATCTAGACAACATATGACCCTGCGGACACGACCTGACATATATCTCGTCTATCGTTTCACCACATAGGTTGCACTTTTCAATCTGGTTCGGATAGAAGGCAGTCGTGTTCAAGATTTCCCGAATGCGTTGATTCACATGTTCGTTTTTTGCACCTTCATCCCGGTGTATCTGCAGATGTCGTCTTAGCATAAACACGGCGAACATTTGATCCTCCGACAGCGTACTTTTCTTTGTCGCATTCTCCAGATACGTACAAGCGGAATGTAGGAAAATTAACGGCAGTGCTTCTGTTATTTTACACTCTTTTACGTGATGTATATTCGGCATTGGCTTTTTTGTTGTGCATACGTTCATTATCACTGCCATCCACATAAACACTTGCAATTTGTAGAGTGACAGCGACTCAAGATTCCTCGGAATTGGACGAAGTACCGTACACGGATCATCTGCCTTGGCAGCTTTTAGCCTGAGGACTTCCATACAATCCCAGATGCTTCCAAGATTTGTACCATTTTCAATAATAGACCATGGATCACATATTGCGGCTTTCAAAGTGAACAAATGTATTGTACTTGGCTCCCTCGTCACCAGATGATCATATACTGTATTTGGACTTGTTATCCTTGCAAATATTACTTTATTTGGCGAATAAGCGAGTCCTAAATATTGAACACGTGTCTGTGGTAAATCGCTACCAATATTGATATTAACTAAATCGTTCGATTGCGTGTTAACGACAAAAATGTGACTGTTCTGCGTGGTAATTAAGAATTGCTCATCAACAAACGGAATTACACCTGAAACAACAGATGTAACAATAAATAATGCATCGTAATATTCCAAAGATTAATTAATGTGTTTATATCGTACGGGTACATTCCTAAAATTGACATATAAAATTCTCAGCTATCCTTACGTCATAATTCTTACCTGTAACGCGTCCTTGCACGCGCAAGTGTCGTATACCCTTCAATTCGCCTATCGAACTCAAACGTAAAAACAAGAGGAAACATCCTTTGGCAGCGAGAATCTTTATCTCTGATTTATCTTTGGAAATTGTATGTAAATAATCTACTGCTATGTGATCAGGAGCGACGTATTTTTCTGCCGATGTCATCTGAAGACGATTGTCCCTATCTGTTAATCTTATACCACGTATTGTACCATCATAATATCCGACAATAATCAGATATTGGTTTACATCAACAGTGATCCAACATAATACATTTGATTTTAACGCGTCGTCTAAATATATTGTGCCGACACATACGAGCTCTACGCTTTTGGTCAAATCTGATATTCTAGGAATCTTCCAAACGAATATATCGCCGTTACAATAAGCTACGGAAAAGTATACGAACGAGGCCTCTTCTACTTTGAAAAGTTCACTCCAGGTCATGGAGCAAGCTTGTAATTTCCTTACGCTCTCAACTATTTGTGTACTCTGGTCACTTGATTTCTCATCAAGATCACATTTATTCATTTTGCCATCTTGTATCATTTTTAATCGAAAGGACGAAACGTTGCATATGGAGTACCAATTGTTAGACACTTTGTGCAGCAACTCAACCACACCTGCTGAGCTCAATATCGCTAACACGCATTGACTCGGAGAGATGAAATTTCCAGGCGACCACGCCGCCCTTACTATCCTCGGGAACTTATTAGTTACCCCATCCAATTTCGGCGTAACGCGATCGTTCATGAGAAGCGAATAAATGTCCTCGCGCATTAAATTCCACAACGAGTCCGTCTCGTCCGCAAATGCACACGCTGGAAAATCGTCGCAAGGATGTATGAAAGACCGGGCAAATTTGAAAGTTGGATTCGGCGACATAGGCGACGGTTCCACCAGCTGTAAAACAAAGAGTAGCTCGTTTTTGGAAATTTGTATTCTTAAGGGAGGGGAGCAGCGCCTTCAATCCTGCCTTTAGGTTGTTTCGCACCAAAACAACTTACCCCTGGTCCACAATCTTGCTTTAAGTAAGCTGTAAGCCTTAAACCGTAAGAAATTAACCAATCATAGGCATTTATTCCCCTCACTCTCACCTGTGATTAGTTAATTTCTTATGGCTTAAGCCTTAAAACTTACTTAAAGCAAAATTGTGAACCAGGGGTTACACTCGAGAATCATACCGCAGCCAGTCGATAGATAAGGACAACAAAAACAAAGCGTTGAATTGAAATGAGGAGGTTAGGTTAGGTTAGGTTGCACTTGACCGGTCTTGTATTTTTACATGAAAAATATTAAAGATACCACGATTCAGATATAAATGAAACTCGACGATCGTAAACTGCAAAAGTAAATTGTTTAATTTCCCTCTCAATATAATTATAATCCAAAGGACACCCTTTTGCAAACGCGACGAAAAAGATTCAACTTACAAATACATGGACGCCCTTTTCCGTAATTATCAGGATCTGATTATCAGATGACCATTGTATCGCAAATGGGCAAGTCACCAACGGAGAAATATTGACACTACAAAGCTCTTCTGTCTCCATCGTGGATGTAACAGCTGCTTTCGTTTCAAATCTGACTGACGCCACTGACGGTCTGTTTACATCCGTGCGGTCCCATGGGCGCGGAACGTGCGCAATACGGAATCGGAACGCTCGTGATTGGTTTACTACAAAAGTAATGATGTTGAAATGATTTTATTTTTTTTTCTTTTTACTTACGTAAGATCTATTTAAGATTAGTTTAGGATTACCGTTCGTATTTTCTTTTATCTTTCGACCGACGCGTCTTTGTACCTTCCGTTGTCCCATGGCCACGGGGCTTTATTCGCGACTCGCGACTCTCCGACGAATTATTTGACGGTTTAACGTGACGAAAGGATCCAAAAGCGAAAGACTTTACACAGACTCTACTTCGTATAAGTATATATATTCAAAGTTTAACAGATTTACACCAATTCTAGTTTCGCAAGACTCTCAGCGAGCAGTCAACTTAACTGCTTCGCCGTCTACCAGAGAGTGCCGGTTTTTCGCTCGCTTTGTCCTCAGCGGACCGCTGGTTCCTTCATTTGACCGATTTTGTTTTCGTGGGTATGTTGTGGCTTTTCGTATGTACTTATGCCACCGCTTTGTGCTGTCACCTTTATCCTAATTCGCTCCTTTCAATGTCATGGCATCAAATGGCGCCAACTAAACCGAATAAATTTATAAAAACTAGGTACCTTGTTATTTTGTATATTAAAATGTTATAGTCAAACAATCGAGCATAAAATTTGATCGGAAGAAATAAAGGAAATAATAATATATTAATGAGACAATTTTTAATACTTATTCCATAAAAATTTAATGCAAATAAATTTAATACAAATAAATATTTTATTAAAAGATCGCCTTTTCTAATTTAATTGTGGGACACATATCGATCCTGATTCATGACATCATTGTTTATTAAAAAAAACTCGGCGCTGCTAAACCAATTTTACATTTGCCAGTAGGTCGGGCTAATACGGCGATTTTTTAACATCAATATCTCGATAACTATTCCTCCGAGTGCAAAATAGTAGGTAGAGGACTTTTCTGTTTGTCTTACAACTAGTCCCCTCTACCTTCCCGTGGAAACGGCGGTCAAAAAGTTGCGGAGCACCCTGTATAGTACGTAAATTTTATCTCGGGGAAAATCAGGTAAATTTCAGCGTTATATTTTGGACCTATTGGTGATATTTAAAGCTAGATTATTTAATCTAGATGCCATAGTTTCATATCTATTTTGGGAAAAATCTAGAACCTATGTAGATTTTCCGACTATTTTTTCTCTCTCGGTAAAATCCAGGTAAATTTCTAGGGTGTATTCCGAACCTAAGTGGATATTTTAAATTGGATTTTTCTATCCAGGCCCTGTATTTGCCCTTAAGCTCAATGTCCACGATGCTAGAACTCGGTCCAAGTTCTAGTTTCGAGAAATCTGTAGCCAATCAACGTGCAGCTATTCCATAAAAGCGGCAAGTTGATTGGCTGCACGTTTCTCGAAACTAAAACTTAATTGGACCAAGTTCTAGCATCGTGGACACTGGCCCTTACGGAAAAGTACCGAAATAATTATTAGAAAATTACTGTACGTCAGTAATTTCTGATAGTTCAATTACTGATATACAGTCATTTTCTAGTAATTATTTCGTTACTTTTTCGTAAGGGTGATCCCGGTAAATTGAGGCAAATTTCTACCCGGATACATATATACAATTCATATACCATATAATTAATAATAAACAATTAATATACATATATACATATGTATATACATATATTTTTTATTTATTTATATTTGTATGAAGAAGTCTCTTTTTTACCGGGGACAATATGATACGTAATATGGCAGCATGAATATCGAAATATATCATTTATTCTATCCGATCGTCACCTTTATAATCTCATTATTGTATTTTGCAACGCGTTGCCGCATTTCCTTTATGACTATTTTGCTATTATTACTATTACTCTGCCGACGCTGCAGATCTAACGACAGGTACTCGACATAAATTAGGTAATACTAACATTTATTAAATAAGAGTGATGCAATAGTAAAACGCGTCTGTTTATAATATTTATGGCAGCATAAATATGCGCACGGGGCAATCCCGGAATCTTACCGTCCGTCCGTTCATCGTAAACGTTGGGACGGCGATTTGAGACGTCTAATACATCATTGACCGCAAATGGCGAAGAATTTGGTCGGTACTGCGGCTCTTAACACGCCTACGAGTACTACATTGCTGTACTTGCCACTTATAACAACTTGATAATGATAACGTTACATATTATAGAAGAAACACTTCAATTTACACTCATCGCAAATTAATATTCATTAATATTTATTACAATTCTCGAAAAGAGAGATGTAGGCGCACTTTGCTCGCTACTTGCAACGTTAAATTAACACAAAAATGCGAGCGTAATAATAAATGCGAACGTACATAGAGCTATCACGATATAAGTTTGATGAAATGTCATCGGATATTGTTATATGAGAGCAACAGCCGATATCGCTGATCGTTAGTAGCAATTAACTGAACTGTCACTCATTGTGTATGTCACGAACGCGACAATCTGGCAATAAATTTGGTCACTTTTCTATACCACAAAACTCCGAAATTATGCATAATTTGGACCAAATGGAGGAGAGTATATTCTGCGCAGAAATCTTTTAGGATATTAATCCGCTTAATATTTTTAATGAATTTTAAATAGCTTTGGTGCAACGATGGCGCAACCATGTGTTCTGTTTTAATTCTAAGATGAACCCAGCAACTTAGCCAGAATGCCGCGAACATTTGCGAACTTCCGCGTCACCTACCCTGCGGGAGTTGTGCGATCGTTACAATGATAAATAAATAATTTATGTACAAAGCCAACGGAAGCTTTTTGTCGAGAGAATGTGAAAAGGGGAACCGAGGGCAGTGTCGGGTGCGTTCGTTTCCGGCGTTCATTTAATTGCTGACTCTCCGCTTCGCATCGAATCGTGTCTTCGAATAAAAGAACTCCAAGCCAAGCCTCGATAACCTATAGCGGTCACGCGAGTTCTTTTATGGTAATCGTTATCACGATATCCTACAAAAAGCGGATTAATTGTAAGAGAAATTGGCAAGAATCCATTTTGTCAAGTTACGTTTCTAATTTATCAAAATTAATATAAGATTCACTTTAGGAAACATTCGAATTATTTCTCATCAACTTTCTATTCCCTTATTTTGCTTTCTCTCTCTCTCTCACAAGCAAATAAACAAAAAACAATCTTTAGAATTCTCATTAAAAAATTTTTTAAGTCACTCTTCCGATTTTAGAGATTAGGAATTCACCACTTTACAGAATAAATCCTTATCAATTCCTTGTCCATAAATCCTTATCAATTCATCAATTTTACAGGATGACAGGAAACGACTGTATTATCAAACTAGGCGAGCTTGCGCTGCCTGCCGAGACAAAAATTATAGAGGCGTTAACTCGACTGGTGGTTGGCCCATCTTTGTTCGCAGAGTCGCGACATCGTCCTCTATCCGAATTAACAATTTGTATTTCTGCAAGAAAGAAATAATTGTATGGAAAAGTAAATATCTCCCAATAAATGTTCATTCCCAACTTTTCCGTACTTACCGTCCTATTATCGCCCGGTGTAGTCAACCAGGCATAGACCATGTATCCGGGTATGCAAAGCATGGAGGATAGCGCTGTAAACCAGCCCAACACATGCGACCACCATGGGTATTCATAATTTAAATATTTTATAGGTGTCCACTGAATCAGATTGAAGATAAACACGCCCTGAGTTCAACATTAAACATTGTACATTTTTATTAAGTTACCAAATGTTTATTAAGCTACCAAGCTATGCTAATTAAAGTCCATTTAATATTGAACAAAAATAAAAATTTATCTATTAGATATCGTATAAACTAATACAGTAGTTCTTGATATTTTTGTAGAAGGGGGAAAATCTCCCAGTGAGAAATGATTCGTCGATTGACGTCGATTCGACATCATTTCGACGTCGATCGACGAATCATTTCTCACTGGGCTATACATAGATATAAGAAAATGCAGAAAATTTGCAGCATACACGTACGCGCGCGTATTATGTTACTAATTAAAAAAAAACTCATTTACTTTTAATTTACTTATTTTTAATTAAAGTACTTTCAAAATTAAATCAAGATGAAAGGAAAAAGCAGCTAGCTCATGTTCTTAGCTCAAACTCTTCTTACAATTAGACATACGCGAGAAGCTGAAACTTACAACGCAAATCATCGGCGTAGTCACTGTCCAGCAAAATTTCCACCACATAAGAGGATAGTAACCGATCATGTCGCGCAGAGCATCATAGAATCGGTTTGTACCAAACGCCCAACTGATTGATATGCATTCGAAGAAGATGAGGAAGAGTAAACAGAAGCCAGAGACGGCGTACGAATCGAGGATTTGGAAAACGTACATGCCACCTTGAGAAATGCACGACAATCCGATAACATAGGACAGGGCGCACACGATGGCGATAAACAACTCCTTGCGACGACGTAACAGCTGAGGCCACTCGTCCACCTGAAGAAGAGTTAACAGTTGGAACAATATTTTTTTCTTCACTAAAAAGAAAAGACATTTCTTAAAGTTAGGCTTTCGTTAAAGTTTGAAAAACAAAATACCATAGCCGTGACGAAGCCTTCCATCGTACAGAACTGGGAGTCGAGTCCGATGAGCAGCAGCATAAAAAAGAACAGGCATGACCAAAGCGGCGCGCCCGGTAGCTGAAGAACCGCTGACGGATAAGCCAAAAAGGCCAATCCTGGTCCGGAAGCGGCCACTTCAGCGACCGGCTTCTGCTGCTCGTGAGCCATGAAACCCACCACAGAGAATATTACGAAGCCCGCGAACATGCTGGTGGATGAGTTGACCGAGCAAACGATCAAAGCGTCCTTGTAGACATTGTTGGTAAATTTGTTATAACTACCGAGAGCCACCAGGGTGCCGAGTCCGAGACCGTACGAAAAGAAAATCTGTGTTACTGCATCGATCCACACCTACGAATTCCACCTTATGTGAGTACATATTGAAAAGGAAAGTCTAGAATCCACTCTTAAAGGTCGTTGATTATTAAGTAAAAGCAATGATCATGGAATGGTGAGTGTATTATAGCGCGCACTGTATGTTAGTATGAATTTAGAATATTCTTATATCTTTTAAATGTTCTCAATTATTATATTGTATAAAATAAACGTTGTGGTAAAGTCAGTTAAAGTTAACTGATGTTTATAGAATCGTTTTAAAGACAAAACAGGTTTCAAGAGCTAGTAAATGAAAGAAAATAACTCACCTCGGATTCCCGAAGCTTAGACAAGTTTGGACTGATATAAAATCGAATGCCTTCCATGGCGCCGGGCAACGTAATACCACGAATCAGAAGAACGGTGAGCAACACATACGGGAAGAGAGACGTGAAATAGACGACTTTGCCAGTCCACTTGACACCTTTCCAGATGCAAAAGTAACAGATTATCCACACTAATAGTAATGTACCCGCTAATTCCCATCGAATATTGCCCACGGACTCAATACCACTGCTGATCTGCAATGCTCGACGTCTGAAAAATAGAGTCAATTGTGAAATTACCGAGCCTAAACAAAACAGAAATACTGAATTTACTGTAAAAGTTTCTGCACAGTTGAAAATTTGTATTTTCTTATTAAAAAATATGCCAGTTAAAATTTTTTTTAAATAATTGTCACACGTGTCAATTTAAAATAACGCTGTTTTTTAATTAAACTTAAGTGTTAAATTATTAAAATAATTAAAAAGTGTCAAAATAACATAATATGTACCTATTTTTAATTTCACCAATGGATATGTTTCGTATTATTAATAAAATCATTATCTGTTAAAATTTACAAAAGAGAAATATTGAGTTTATTATATTTGTAAAAGTTGGAACACTTGAAATTATTATGTCTGTAAAATGTAAAAATGTCTTTTCTAATTAATTTTCTCATTAAAAATATATTGACTTTACAGAAAATTTATTTCACATCACTTTGAGGTTTTCATTTTGTTATAAACATACTATAAAAGTATCATAAACATAATATTAATCTACTGTTTAATATATTATATTAAATTAACACAAAAACTTATGTGGACCATTAATTCGGGATATGTAATGTCTGTTAAATTTAGCACAATTTTTTCAACTGCGTGCTTAGTATAAAGCTCAATTTATAGAAATGCGCAAATTACGCGCGTCACGTACTCGAAAAGAAATAAAAAATTGTATTATACTGACTCCCAAAACTCCTTCACAGGGTCCGTAAGTTCCGCCACTGTCACATTAATATGATTGAGCGTGCACATCTTGATGACGCTACCATTCCTTGAGTTATAGCTCCAGCAAAACAACGAGCTTCTGTCGTAAGGATTTACACAATTCTTGGTGTTCCAGTCATTGTTGCAGCTTCCCCAAGGCAATTCTACAAATTGCACAAGATAGTTATTATTTATAATGAATAACGGTCAATAAAATATTATCATTAGTGAAAGATATCCGATAAAATAAGACATTACGAGAATTTTTCGGTGTAGATAATTTCAAATTTGCCTACCACTGCGCATTGACATAAAGAAATAAAAGATCGCCCAGGCCAGGATAACGATATAATAGACATTCATCCAGCAGGACATGACGGCAGCGGCATAACCGATGCCCTTGAAGAGCGGCGCTATCTTAAAGACTCCGAGGCCGCCCACCGTGAGCATCTGCCCGAGAGCTAACTCCATAAAGAACATGGGTATACCAGCCAAAAACAGCGTTAAGAAGTATGGAATTAGGAAAGCGCCGCCGCCATTCTTGTAGCACAGATATGGAAATCGCCAGACATTGCCAAGACCGATCGCCAGGCCAACCTTGAAGAAACGGCAAAGAAATTGCGTATCAAGGTACAGTTAGTGCCGATAATAAAAATATCTTTGTATTCTTTTATGAATAACCATAAATTTGTATATGCATATGTAGTCTTTGATATTCATAGAAATATCTTTGAAAATTCGTAGTGCTTTGTAATAAAATCGCTTCGCCCTGACACTTTTCAGTAATAATTATAGCTAATGATATTAACGGACGATATTCCTAAAGGTGATTGTGCATTAAGATATGACGTCACGATAACTACCACACTGAGGATAAAATCCAGCTTGGTGCTCCATGTTCCGCGATCCGGAAGTGGTTTCCTTTTGCTGGTCGTCGAACAAGTTAGATTTAACGTTGTCGTGCCGTTGTCGGTGTTTTCTGAGTCAGCTACTTCAGGATCCCGTGATGCCTCTGTCATGATTATGGGCTTTTGTGATGGGCCCACTTGGTGTTCTCCAGGTGTCGTCGGTTTGTATACGCACTCCGGCTGATTGTCGATCGGTGTCGTCTCAAACGCAAAGATGATAACGAGACATAATACAGTATCTGCCAAGCAAATATTTCACAAATTGCTTACTTAAAGATATATTAATTTTTTCCGTTGAGAATCATTTCACGCCGGCAGACGAATCAACATGATTAAGCAAAGGAGTTAATCGACCACGACTGGCTACGTGCTTTTTTAAAACAGAAAATTTATTGCGAAAAGTGTTACCTCAGCCAGGGTTTAAGCCTGGACCTCCCTTCACTCTAGGCGGGCGTCTCAACCAATTCGACCACCGAGGCATATGATAATATTTGTCGCAATAACAGTATAGATGTTGTGATGATTGTCGGTTGAACACAGGGGAGGGTAAGGGAACGGGGATACTTAAAAATCGCGTTTCGATAGTGCTGTGTTCAACCGACAATCCGTATCGGTGCGTAGTTCACAAAAGTCGAAAACATACGCGTAGACAACATCTATGCCGTTATTGCGACAAATATAAGCATCTGCCTCGGTGGTCGAATTGATTGAGACGCCTAGAGTGAAGGGAGGTGCAGGTTCAAACCATGGCTGAGGTAATATTTTTGCAATAAATTTTCTGTTTTTAAAAACACACAGCCACAGTCATGGTCGATTAACTGCTTTGCTTAATCATATTTATTTTTTATTAAAGTTTTTTATTAAAGTTATTTTTTAATTAATTTATTTTTTAATTTAAAAAAATTATTTAAAATTAAAAATTTATTTTATTAAAGTTTTATACAATTTTTGTTAAAGATAATGAAGACACGAATCTTGAACTGTAATAAACACGAGTTGTAAAACACAAGACGAAAAATTTGAAGAATGTTTACTTAAAAATCCTCAAACAGAAGTTTTTCTTGAGCGAACGCCTTTTACTTTTACATTATCGAAAATTGATGCAGAAACTTGTATTAATTTTCTATAATATAAAAGTAATAGGCGTTTGCTCTAGAAAAACTTCTGTTTGTGGATTTTAAAGTAAAACTTTCTCAAATTTTTTTAAGGATTTGTAGGAAGATACTAAATAATTGTAAACTGTTATATGAGTATTTAAAATACTGCTTGCAGTATCGAAATTTTTATCCTTTTCTATTTTAAAAAGTATTGACCGAGTTTTCGTTCTTTGTAAGCTACGAATGTTCACGTGGTTTCTGTCGCCCAGAAAATCTGCGGAAAATCATTAGGGTTGAACGCTTGGGTCAAAGATGAATGCTCTTTTGGGTACCAAAAAAAGAAAATAAAATAAAAAGTCCATTGATCACAGTGAGCATTAAAGTGGGCTACTGAAAGACCAGCCGGATAACAGTATACATTCTTCTATTGGATAATTAAATTGTGCCCGCATTGTGTCTCAATAATCGTCGAATGTTAAAAGACTCTGAATTACAATGCGTTAAAATATCTGACAATAAGTTAAATTTGTCATTGCGCGGAAATTGCTAATTAATAGAGTTAAATATATGTATACATATTACATATTATAATATAATTAACGTAAAATAATTAACATTTATGGTGTGTATGCATTTCAATAAGAGATAAATGAAGCTATTGGAAATAAGTGCAGTATTTAATGTTTAAATATATGACGTATGGTTTTACTTGTATACCTTTATGTAAAATTCTATTTGCAACAAAGAAGTATTCAATAGAACAAATGCAACAATTACTATTGTCAGGAAACCTTGTAAGGAAACCTTAGTTATGTTTATTATTTCCAAAATGTGTCTACGAAATATCCATTTAAAGCTAAATAAAAACTCTACGTCAATACCAGGATATCAGTTTGTATTAATTGTGTTGAATTATGTTTTTCAATTATTGCGCTTGTGTAGTTGATGCTAGAGGCATATTCAAAATTATTTTCAGCAATCTGCTTTTCTCGGACATCTTCCATATAAAACTGACAGCGAGTCAAACATTTGATTTAATTTCAGCCAATCGGACTTGAATCGAGCAGGAATTACATTGAATTAGCGAAGATGTGTGCAGACTCCTGCAAGAAAAGCAGCATGGTATTCTTCTAGGTATATAGAAGAAGGAGGATGAACGGTGGCCATTGGCGCAGCCTGTTAAATACGAATGTCCGGCACGAGGGGTCCGTATAATAAATATCGCGATGGTACGTGTTTCCTTGCTTCTCCCTTCCCACTATCGCCACCCACCTCGGCTCCCTCTTCCTCTTCCACGCTCATAAAAAACAGCTATATTCTAATTAGCTGAGGATGTGTCGTTCCGCGTGTCATCGCGAGAGATACATCGGATTTTAACCGTCGTCACCTGTAATGCGGTCTCGGCGGGAAGTTAAAGTGCCGCGAATTTTCCCTTTGTTCGAAACATTAGAAATGTTTTTTCAGGAAGACGCACATCGGTAAAGTTAATCGCGACCGCGTGGCATCGGATTTAACAACTTCAAGTGCCATAAAGCACAAACCTTTGAAACGTTATACTGGAATCAATTGTTTAAGTCATGTGATATCAAAATGTCAGGCTTAAAACCTTAATCTAGGACAGGCATAAGTAATTTACGCTTTATAATTCATTTCAATCTACCGATCCGTTAAATTGATCCATTACACTAGAGCCATTCCACAGATGATCGTTATTTTTTGTTATTCTTTATTTATGTGCTCACATGCTTTTTTATCAATTTTGAATTTTACAAGGAAAGAGTAACGTCCTGTAAATCAAATCATTTGTCGCTAATTGATTGCTAATTGCGCGATCAATTTGCCATTATTCCTCCTTAAGTATAACATATTTGTTACGCTAATTCCTAAGCGGTCTACGAACCTTACTAAATCTGGCAATGCAATCTCATGTGGAAATCTTCCTAGATCTAGCCGCGAGTGAATCGCTGCGAAACAACCGATGTCACCTCAATGTCGGCGAACGGAAAAAAAATTTGGTTTTTTTGCACACTGCACTTTCTGAGCACTCTTAATGGTCGCACGAAATGTAATTTCGCGCTCGTTGCCGGAGTAGTCGTTCACGCTCTATTTCGTCGATGAAAATCTTCGGTAAACGACGGAACTTGAACTGATCAAATCGATCTTCTAATTCTCTTTGCCGAGTAACCGAATCTCGCTTTTAAAATCGCAGTCGATCTGCCGGCCGCAAAATCCGAACTACTCTTCGGAACACCACTTGATCTTGGAGGTTGATTTCAAGGTGCGATTCGCGCGGGTCGTGATCGCTCACGTTTGCCTGCCGTGGATATACTGGTTTGGGGACCACGACGCGTGTACCACGGGGAGAGAGCAAAGAGTGACTCTCTACGTTGTGAGTGCGAGTGTCACCCGCGGGATACTGTGTAATCGGCGATCAGTCCAATCTCAGATCTTCCATGCATGCTGCGCCAGCTGACAATAACTAAAATCGTCGTAGGAAGAAAATCTGGGGGTTCCCCCTTTTTTCCTTTTCCCCCGCCTGTAATTCGCGCTAACACGCGCCCTTACGTTCTCCGCCTTCCCCGTCAACATTGCAGGACGTTATCTGCCGATGGTCTGCTGA